GACTTCTCCCAGTCGGCCAGTAAGTATTTATACTACTATTAAAAACATAACTGAAAAGACCTATGTGCCCTTACTTAAGTTAAGAGCACATGTTTCAACACAACATTACAGATCAGCAACATCAATCAAGGTATAAAGACAGAAATACCCCTACGCTAACACCCCTGTTTATGCTTTTCCCTCAAATCAGTAGATAGGGACTGATAAACGTTCAGTCCATTCCTTAAATTCTTCAAGGCAGAATAATACTCTTCTACACTTTCATCTCCCTCTTAGAGAGTGAAATAATCCTGATACAACTAACAAATTCTTGTTACATTGTCATGCCCGGAATGCAACTGCTTGGCATGATCCCAAACTTCCTTAGTAGTGTCCAAAAACATAACATTAACATTGATATGGTTCCCCATACTGTTCCACAATGATGTTATAATCTGTGCATTCCCTTGCACCTATTCATTGTACCCTTCAAATCCACTCTTTGGCTGAACCTCCTTAATGTATTTCAGTTTACCCCTACCAATCAATGACAATTCAACCGACTTAGCCCATGGGACATAATTTCTACCATTAAGCTTAACAGTGATTAACTACGCATTCATAAGGTCTGATTGCACCACAACTGCTGACTTAGAGCCACTAGTTGATGAAGTTATAAGTCAAAAAGGCAATCTGATTGCTAAAAAACAATACTGACCTACCGAAAGAGCTGCTGGATACCCACTACACAAAGGCTTTCAGCATAGAAAAAACACCAAAAATAATCACTTGCCTTGATCACCAACCAACTTCATAAACTCACTGCTGGACTTCTGCCACACCACAACACACCATTCAATCACCACGCACTAATAAATAAACATCAACAACAATCCCCCTTCAAAYTGCCAAGCAGAGGGTGCCTAAGAAACCACCAAAAATTCACAAACATCTGCACTTTGAGGCATAGAAGCCTTCTTCCCTAAGGGGTGATCAGTCCTTTCAGGTCCCTTTTACCTCCTTTGATAAATAGAAAGAGCTCTTTACTGGTAGGGCACAATATGGCAGGAAAAACTAACCAGGTTATAAGAGAAAATAAAAGGTAGAAACCCTGTTAGAAAAATAAAAGGTAGGGCACAATATGGCATGAAAAACTAACCTGTTAGAAAGATGAGAAAATAAAAGAGAAAAAGGTGGAAACCCTGTTCAGTCATAAGAAGCAAGGAAGATAGAGAGGGAAGAGGAGAGAAGTTAAAGAAAGGTTTCCTGTTAGAGTCAGATCGAAAAGACAGAGAGAGAGAGAGAGAGAAAGAGAGAGAGAGAGGAGAGAACACAGCAGATTGGTAGGTGTGTCACATTGTGACTATCAACACCCTAAAAGAGATATTTATATTAAAAAAAGTAAAAGGACAAATGTGCCCTTAGTGTTCAAAAAGAAAGAGTACATAAAATAGATGTACAACAAAAGAAGTAAAAGTACAAAAATAGCCCTGCGGCTAGATCTTCTCACTGTCTCTACACTCCCCCTCAAACTGATGCCTAGGAATAAGCATCAGTTTGTCCATGAGAAATTGATGCCGAGCCTAAGTCATTAGTTTAGTCAACAGGTCTACCAATTGGAGCCTAGAGGAGACATGAGGAAGAGATATAATACCCTCAAGAAGGAGATCGCAGATGAAGTGGCAATCAACTTCTATGTGTTTGGTGCACTCATGGAAGATAGGGTTGGAGGCAATTTTGATTGCACTGTCATTGTCTGCATAGAGAGGAACAAACAATGATGGTTCATTAAATATGTCAAGTAGAAGAGCCCAGAGCCATATGATTTCACTACACATGGAAGACATAGCTCTGTATTCAACCTCAATAGAAGATTTTGATACAATAGGTTGTTTCTTGCACTTCCACGAGATAAGAGAGTTGCCTAAAAATACACACCAGCCGGTAGTGGACCATCGGGTGTCAGGGAATCCAGCCCAATCAGCATCTGCATAAGCCATAAGGTTAATGGGGGATAAGGGGAGAAGAATATCCTATATGATAGGGTGCCTCACACATATCTAATGATCCGATGAACTGCATATAAATGAGGTTGTCTTGGAGAAGACACGAACTGGCTCACCAGTTGAATTGCATATGATATATCTGGCTGAGTCATGGTGAGATAGATTAAACTGCTCACTAGTTGACGATAAAGGGTAAGATCTTCAATGAGAGAACCATCATCTTTGCTAAGTTTCAGATTCAGTTCTAGYGGGGTATCCACAATCTTGGAATCATTGAGATTGGCCATTTCAACTAGATCAGCCGCATGCTTTTGTTGGTTAACAAAATAGCCCCGAGAGTTTCGGCTCACTTCAAGTTCCAAGAAATATGTCAGAGGCCTTCATCTTAAAGGATTCACTGAGTAACTGTTGGAGATCAGCAATTCCTTCTACATCATCTCCTGTAATGAGTATATCATCAACATAAAGAAGTAAGATCGTCACTCCCTGCTTTCGCCTTAAAGTGAATAAGGAATAATCTGAAGAACTCTAGATAAATCCTACACCAGTGATAATAGATCTGAACTTCTCAAACCAGGCTCTAGGAGCTTGCTTCAAACCATAGAGTGACTTCTTCAGACGACAAACAAGTTGCGGGTCTATACAATATCCAGGAGGGGGCTTCATATAGACTGCCTCCTTCAACTCCCCATGGAAGAATGCATTCTTTACGTCCATCTAATGGATTGTCCACTGTTTGGATGTAAATATAGCCATCAGAAGTCATACAATGGTCATTTTTGCTACAAGAGCAAAAATCTCCTCATAGTCTACCCTAGGAGTTTATAACCTTGTGCAACCAACCTAGTCTTGTATATGTCTAGGCTCCCATCATATTTCAGTTTCATAGAGTAGATCCATCAGTTTCCTATGAGAGATGTCTCAGGTGGAGMGATGACCAAGTCCCATGTGTCATTCTCAAGAAGGGCTCAGATCTCTAAATCCATGACATCTTTCCAGTGTGGTTCTGCTACAGCCTGCTGGTAAGATCTAGGAATGTCTGTGGTAGATAAAACAGCAAAGAAGGAGCGACAGTCCAATGAAAAACCATAACAGTCAGGTAGGCAAGAAATTCTAGAAGAACGACATAAAGTGGGTATAGTGGGTTCAAGGAAAAGATTTGGTGCACTTACTGGGGCAATTGGAGTGACTGGATCAACAACTGGTGGTGGAGCGGAGGGGGATATTAAGACTGAAGAAGGCTGCTGCTTCCTGAAGCAGGTTTGAAGTTGATGTGGAGGAGGCATTGGTATGCTTGAGGTACCAGTAGAGTCAAAGCTGAGCAACAAGGAAATGTAAGGAGTTGGGAATTTTACAATATGTTAAAGAAAAAAGAGACTCTCAAGGAAAACTACATTACAAGACATTCGAATATGTCGAGCCGAAAGATCACAGCAAAGGAATCCCTTATGTTCAGAACTGTACCCCATAAATGTTGGATAGTGTATGCCCTTAGCTCCAATTAGATTGATGTACATATCCATTTATTGTAAATGAATAAAAGTACATAATTGTTTCATGTTATAATTGGTGTGTTTCTGTGTAATTACCCATAAACTAGACACTTATGAGACTCGTATTAGTTTATAATGTTCTCAGCCATTGGATAGACTTGGGGAAGTTTATCCTGCCAAGGCTGACACTGATGTGCTGCCAAAAAGGTTGGGGCAGCCTGTCTCAGCTGCCAGGGTTAGACCCGAAGCACATACAGTGTGTGTTTGTTCGAAACACTAAACCCGAACCAATTCCAGTTATGCCCTGGACGTTGGAGACTGGTGGGCAAAACTAGAAAGTTACACATAACCCCTAGACTCAATTATGGTACTGTACTGGGTGTCGGATTGGGCTGTCTTTGATATGCCAATCAATGAGATCCTTTGGGGGTCAAAACCTAGGTATGTTGGGGAAGTCTGAGAATTCACTCGAGTGGGTGATCATAGTGACAGGATCAACCCCTTTGTCGAACAAAGTGAATGATCGGGACTACACTCTCTCTAATGGAAACCAAAACTGCCGGCAGTCGATTTCAACTGTGTTYGAGATTTGTTTTGCAAAATATATTTATATGATAATATATATATTATGTTTTAAGAAAAATGTTTGCAAAAAGGTTTTAATTCCCGGGACCCATCCAAGCAGAGAGTGCAACACTGCACCTTGCAGTCAGGGGAGAGGTCCTTCCCTGTCGGGCAGTGTTTGGTCATTATGGCTGAGAGGTTAGGTGTAAGAGACCATTGAGGGTTGTTTACCGGATGGACTATAACTCACTTAAGCCCATTATCCTTGGGCCTTCATAGGATGGTTGGACTCAAGGATCATTTAATTGTAAATGTTGGGCCCATTAAGAGCCCATACTGATGGACTCAAGGGTTCACTGTACTTAACAGTGAATTCGGCTAAGCCTTTTCTCAAAGATTGGACCGAACCCATGTGGGCTTATGTAGGGTCATTGCTGGGGACCCCACACTATACAAAGAGAACCAAATGCATAGCAACTACCTAGGGGCGTGAGCCACTTGCTTAATGGGCCTAAAGCCCAAGATTAATTGGATTAATCAAGTGGTCACATAACAGCTTAAGCAGTCATGTGACTTGGGCGAATATGGGTTTGGGTTTGAGTCTAGATCAGCCATTAGGATAAGAGGATAGGTCTTATCCACTTAAAGAGTCCAAATCCAAATAAAGATTTGGATTAGGAACCTCCTAATTCGATTAGGAGTGGTGATCCTTAAGGTTTAAGAATGGAGAGTTCAATCTGCTCCAGATCACTTCTGCTATCAGCTCTTTCTCTCTATTCTTACCACCCCAAAAACCCTAATTTCGACCTCCACTTCTTGGACTGATCTTGATCAGTTCGACCTCTGATTTTTGCAAGAAAAATACAAAGAAAATTCGTGCTCACCTCCCTTGTTTGATCCAAGGTGTTGGATCACAATTTTGCTAAAAACTGTGTCGCTGAACCGTCTTCAATTCAAGTTGCGCCATCTTCAGTGGGAGCTGGTTTTGGAACTCTCTTTGGGCGTGAACCACCACTTTGGGAGCTACGCTTGTGGATTCCGTATCAGGTATATTTCTCCCTTTCTATTGGTTTCAAATCTGGTCTGGTTTCGATACCCGGAAGGGTAAAAGAAAATTTTTGAAATTTCGCCTAGCCATCTAGCATGGTCCAGCCATCCATATGATGGATTCCCCTTCCTTCAATAAAGGCATACAAAGCCACTTGTGTAGTTAACTTTGTGCATTCATGAGGTGGAAGGTGAACAAAACAAGCACAACCAAAAACCTTGAGCATAGATAGATCTAGAGGTTTGTGGAAGAGAGATTGGAAAGGAGAAGAATTATTTAAAATAGAAAAAGAAAGATGATTTATGAGATACACAACAGTGCTGGCCGCCTCCACCCAAAATGAAGAGGGTACATGAGAATCTTGTAGAAGTGTATTGACTACACTTAAAATATGCCCATTCTTTCTTTCTGCTACCCCATTTTGTTGTMGGGTGCCTAGATAGGATTTCTGGGATTGAATTCCATATTGTTTTAAGTAAGTTTGGAAATCCCCATCAAAATACTCTCCGCCTGAATCCGGTCATAGCACACATATCCGAGCATTAAATTGGGTAGTAACCAAGGTTTAAAATGTCGATGCCGATG